TACCTTAACCAAAATCAAAGTAGACTATCACTCACCCACACCAGATGGAAAACTCTACAGACTGTCGGTTCACACCCCATCACAAGCCAGCAAAACATCCACGAATCAAAGAAAGGTCTGTCACAGCCAAAAAATACACTCCAGACACGGCCTTGTACGCAAGAGGTTCTGAACAGGGGGAGTTGTAAGGAAGAAGATTAAAAAAATGAATTTATTTGTCTTTGTTTTCTTTCTGTTTTCTTTTCGTTTTTGCGCTCTGACAACTTTGTGACGATATATATATATATATATATAGGGGGGGTGATCTGGTGGGGAGAGGGAGGGAGGGAGGGAGAGGGAGGCAGGGAGGGAGAGAGAGAGAGAGAGGGGGAGAGGGAGTTCGGCAGAGATGGACATGCAGAGAGAGAAGCGGGGACAAAATGAAGACAGGAACATCACAATAATTCTCATCAGGATCATGGTCGAGCATCGTCATCGATACTTCATCAATTGTGTGTCCATACATTGATGGTCATGATTGATTGTTTAACCAATCCCAGGTCCATTAACCAATTCATACATCGATTGATTAATTTATCCATTGTCATTGTGATCGACCGTCTGCCTCCTCCGTCCATTACCTCGTCCAACACCACCAAGCATCACCCAATCAATGATCAATCCTGAGTCTGTCGAGAAGATAGCCAATTGCCATCATAACTGTCATCACAATGGCTACGACAACGTGCATGATGACATCATTTTTATTCAAGCCAAAAGCAAACAGACCTCAGGAGATCATTCGCTCCATGCACAACTGCCTTGCTACGTTAGAATCCTGTGACGAAAAGGACTTGAAGAGCGCAGAGAAGGCTCAGGAAGAACTGATGAAGCTATTGCTGGAGATGAAGGCGGCCCTCTTATCGGATGCAAACGAGGAGCCCTCTTATGAAGTTATGGTGGATATCACCTATGGGATGCTGAATGACAGATTCTTGCATTCGTTCATCCGCTGCCTTCCCCTTATGTCGCTGGAGGCTCGGATGGAGGCCACACATGTGCTGTGCAAGCTGCAATGGAATCAGATCGATGGGCGGCATATTGTAGTGGAGTACATGGAGGAGAACACCGACCTCATCGACCTTCTCGTTTCCGGATTCGAGAACAAGGATTCGGCGTTGTTCTGCGGGAGAATACTGCGTGAGTGCTTTCATCATACAGCCCTTGCCAGCTACGCATTACAGTCAACGAGTATTATGTCCCGCTTTTTCTCCTACATCGATCTGCCAAATTTCGACGTGGCCGCCGACGCGCTGCTGACTTTGAAGGAGCTCATGACTAGGCACAAGACCCTTGTTGCTCTGTACCTGTCCAAGAACTTCGCCTGGTTCTTTCACCATTTCGGCCAACTGCTATCCTCGTCGAGGTACATCACCAAGAGACAAGCTATACAGTTTCTCGGAGACTTGTTGCTTGACCCGGCTTACGCGGGAATCATGATGGCGTACGTCAACACCGCGTCAAACCTGCGCGTCATAATGAATTTGTTGAAGGAACCCTCAAAGTCTATCCAAGTAGAGGCCTTCCATATCTTCAAAGCTTTCGTCGCGAACGAACGGAAAAGCGAAGAGGTCAAGCGCATTCTAGTGTCGAACAAAGACAAGCTGCTGGAATTCCTAGTTGACTTCAATACCGACAACGACAATCCGAATTTCGCTGAGGACAAAGATGAAGTGCTGAATGAGATCAGGAAATGGAAGCCTTTAACCAATTAGGCTAATTAGCCCTTTTCTTTTGGTTACGGGCTTCCCGCCCCCCAACCCCCCTTTTCTTCTTTTTCCCTTTCGGAATCCAGTCTAAAATACTGCAATTTCATGGATGATAAGAGCATCACATTACCCAAAATGGAAACCTGTCAACAACATTCGCAGGCTTTTTTCGGTGCAAAATTTCTTTCTCTTTTCACTCCAACTTATCACCAGGGCCACAATACCCTATGATAAAATTCCTTAACCCCCTGAACCCCCTGAACCCCCTGAACCCCCTGAACCCCAAACCCTAAACCCTAAACCCTAAACCGTCAACCATAAGACCGAAACCCTAATGCCCGAAACACAAACCCTAAAACCTAAAACCTAAATCCTGAACCGTAAACTGTAAGCCCTAAGCGTAAGCCCTAAACCCTATGCCCCAAACCGCAAACACTAAACCCTAAACCCTAAACATGGGAGCATGAATCCCAAACCCTAAACCCTAAACCCTAAACCCTAGACCCTAAAGCACAGGTAGGCAAGATATATAAACCGCCAAAGGTCATCGGAACAAACTTCATCTTCCGTCTTCAACAGCCCATATATCAGTCAAGTGCGTGCCGTTCCCAGTTTCCGCCAAAAGTATAATTCGACGAGGAGCCAAGTAAGCAAGCGTTGTAACTGTATCATCTAACCTCCCTTCGCACAGCCAAAAATGAATTTGACATTTCGTTGCCCGATGTATCAGAACGCATAGAGGCATTAAATGGACGAGTATCAGATGGATGGGACGCCATAGGCATTGCCTTTTTTTTGTAATTGAAAACCGAAACGAAGTTTCAAGAAAGAGAACGCATAAGAATCTTGCCAATCTTTCTGGACAGGTGCAGTCAACTTGTCGACAATGATTCTAATTCCCAGACAACAGAGGAGAGGAGAGGGGGGAGGGGGGGGGGGGGGGGGGGGGGGGGGGGGGGGGGGGGAAACCCCCTTAGAGAGTTTGAGAGAGACACAGAGAGAGAGAGAGAGAGAGAGAGAGAGAGAGAGAGAGAGAGAGAGAGAGAGAGAGAGAGAGGGAGTGAGAGAGGGAGAGAGAGGGGGGGGGGGGGGGGGGGGGGGGGGGGGGGGGGGGGGGGGGGGGGGGGGGGGGGGAGCGGAGGGGAGAGGAGGGACACACCCCTTTTCCCCTCTTTCCTTCCTCCGCTCCGCGCTGCCCATGCTCCTTGTTTTCACTGGGGTATTAACTGAGATTTCCCAGGATACTTACTGCGATTAACCAGGGTCTTTTTACTGAAGTTAACCAGTGTGTTTTTACTGAGGTTAACCAGGGTGTTTACTGATTTTAACTAGGGTATTTACTAACTAGGGTATTTACTGCAATCAACCCCAGTTTGGGGTTCACTGGGGTATTTACTGAGATTTACCAGAATACTCACTGAGATTAACCAGGGTGTTCTTACTGAGGTTAACCAGGGTGTTCTTACTGAGGTTAACCAGGGTGTTCTTACTGAGGTTAACCAGGGTATTTACTGCGATCAACCCCTCCCTCCAGCATACAAGTCTCGGATCATCCGCCTCACCCCTCAAGCCTCCAATAAGTATATGATGCTACGCATGCGTTCTATTCTGGACAGCCTCGAAGCCTCTGCGGTCTTCGCCCGAACACAATAGACCCTCATCATCACGGCATCGGACGACCCTAATCATCACGGTATCTGACCGGAAAGATAGCTTGTATTCATTCATGAACGGGGGTATGTTGTGTTCGAGGGACAAAGGTGGTCAGGCAGGTAGCTACATATCAGCAGCAGCCAGTGTTCCCACGCTCTGCAGGTCAGGTCTGCGATCTCTGCAAGTCCCACTCTCTGTAGGTCCCATTCTCAGTACATCCTTCACTTATAACCGTTGAGGACCAGAATCACGGCCAGATGCAAAGGACCCGGGTAAGTGGGACCTAAACTGTTTCCCTAGATGGTTATTTCCGAAGCGTAGGGTTTTTCTTCTTCTTTTTTTTTTTTCTTTTTTTTTTTTTCCTTCAATAGTTTGATAATATAGTATCCCCATTTTCAGAGGCACGACCTAGTGCAAGTCGTAGATTACCCGTCTTCCACCGAATAGAACGTACAGTCATAATATAGCTGCATTTCGGGCAACTTTCGGTCTAGATGCAGCCATGATAACCGCCGTGCGTTCTATTCCGGGGAAAAAGGTAGTATGAAAACGTATCTCATCCCGCAGCTTGACAACATCATCGACCAATTTTTTGAAAAAAAAAAAGAAAAAAAAAAGACATCGATAACTGTAGGAACGAGCTTTGCTCAGTCGGTAAACCCATAACTGTTGAAATACGAACCCGAGTTCGAATCCAGATGCGATCCGACGAACAGAACAAAATATTTCTGAATTACCTAACTTGGGCCGGTCAGTTCAATGATGATATCTCACGGTCATTGCCCTTACCCAAGACCAAGAAGAAAAAAAAAAAAAAGTGAAAAAAAAAAAAAAAATGTAGCAGCTAACGACACGTGTACCATATATATATACATATATATAACCAACGCCACGTGTCACATAACTAATTTGATTTTTTTTTACTAAGACCTAGAGCAGAGCCGTGTTCAAGCTCAATTGT